TCCATAATTATTAGAATCAGAATAAATTATGCAAAGTAAGAAGAAACTACGCAAACATCCTTCCTTTGTATGACATACAGAGATCACAAAATTCTACTTTTCTTGGTAGAGCACTGTCCAGGGCAACCGCACAGATCACACACCTCTCTGCAACTGCCATCTGTCATTCACAATGCTCCAAGAATTCATTTGAAAAGAAACTTTCTACAAATTAATCCCATTTCCCATATGAAGAAAACTTGTTCAGCCAGTGAAGTGAAGAAATCTTGCTGTTGCCAAGATTCTAGTTAAGACTGGCTACCTTGGCAGAATAAGTCAGTTCCTCAAGGATTTACACCCACTCTCCCTTGGAAGGTCTCCTTTCTGGCATGAGATAAAAGACCAAAGAGGTGAAACTGACACTGCTTCCACATTGTGTTGAAAATATATTTCATATAAACTTATTTGTTTCTGCAAAACTAGTCCCTTTTCCCTATGGGAAGCTAGTCAGGCACATGTGCACACACGCACGCATGCACGCGCGCACACACACACACACACACACACACAGAGGAAGCACAACAACAGGCTGATTAGTCTTGGGGCTACATATCAACCCATCCCTTGCAACTATTTTTTTTTTGGTAATCACATTTCCCCCAGTGTGGATTTTACACCCAAATGAAAAAACACTCACAAAAATGTGCCCATCTTCTTTGAGACCAAGCAGAGGGAAGCCTGCCATCTTGCGGTGGCTTGCTGCAAGGAGAAACTGTCTGAAGCTTTTTTGTTTACTACACAAAGAGGAATCAAGCCAGTATAACAGCTCAGAAAAGTCACTTTCTTGGATTGCAACTCTCAAAAAGTCTCAGTCACCATGGCCTGTGTCCATGAAAACTGAGGAATTCTGAGAGTTGAGGTCCACAGCAGTAACTTTTCCCAGGGTTTTGTCTGAGCCATTTTGAGCATGCCAGGAGGGAGCCTGGCAAGGAGAATAACACTACTTCTGTGTAGGGATGGGCAGTCTTCCCCAACCTTCCACTAACTAGACTGACTCAGAAATAAACCTAAAGCATTGGAAATAGTTCAGCCTATTTCCCAAACCACCCAATTTAAGGATTCACTTCCCTCGTCCAATTACAGTATTACTTGGGAGAATGTAAGGGCTACCAGAACTCTTCATCCTGGAGTGGGAACGGAGAAGGAGGAAAAACCATTTTCCTTTCCTGTTTTCGAAGCCCCAAAGGAGCATTGCTGCTGTCTGGCAAAGGTGATATAATTGTAAAGGATATGGGGGAGAGCTTTGAGGGAGTCAGATGGACAGAAAGGGACTGGAGAGTGGCAAGGAACCCAACAGTTCTTCTCTAGCTAGAATGTGAATCCTTGGGAAGAAGTTGAGTCAGACCACGGGTACGTCTAGCTATCATCCGCACTGACTGGGAATGGCTCTTTCTACAGTGCCAGACAGTTCTCTTTCCTAGCCATGACTGGAGATGTCAAGGGCTTGACCTGGAGCCTTTGTCTGCAAAACTTATGCTCTCCCACTGTGTTACAAGCTTTTCTCACTAAATGCCTGACTCAAGGGAGGGCTCTATTCCTAACTATGCAAAGATTAAGTGTGTACATCTACTGTAGATGCATCAAGTTTTGTCCAAATATGTAAACAGAGAGCACTGAATCTGAGCAATCTGAACACCTTCATCAAACCATGTTCAGCTGAATTCCAGTCCCTTTGAGGATCTTCCAGGCATATCTAAACTTTGCAGTATCTCAGATCTGACATTTTAACAATGATTCTAACACAAGATTACTGGGTTTCTTGATTTTTTCTCAATACAACTGGTCACTTTGTAATTACTAAGACATAGCAGATGGTTATAAAAAGTCTATCTGCTCAACAAACCCTAAAGAGAGCAACTTTCCCCCCTGTATACACCGCTTTTTAAATATCATTGTACCCATTATTGGCCACAGTACATGGAGATTTATCCAGGTTTGGACTAGTGGAGACAGACACTGTGCATATCAGAATATATCCCCCAAAAGATCTTACTCTTGCTGTATAGCTCAGAAAATACTGAGCAACCAGAATTGATTTAAGGTATAGAAACATGTGCAATAACCTGTAGAGAATACTATAAATGAGAGGTCAGTTTACTAGACAAAATCCAGGATGGAAGGAAACAGCCAATTATCACATAAAGGGACTGTAACAACAGTAAACATTTCCCCCTCTTAAAACTGTGGGTTGATGATCTTTTAGTGAGTCATGAAGCCAGAATCCCTGTTTAGTCTGCAACTGTAGACCTTAATGAGAAAACAGAGGTCACTTACTGTTAAGTCTGATCTATTTTATGCTATATATACTGGAACTTTAGTAGAAGTGGACTGTTTCATTCCCTTCCGTTACTGCTGCTCTGAACAAAAGAGCAATAAGTAAGTAAGAGAGTAAGCTGAAAGCTGAAATTGGTTTCCTTAAGAGTGCAACGACGTGGGCAAATACTGCAGGATTTATTCTTCCTATAAAATTGATGAATTCAAAGTATTTTTAACTGACTGCATGATACAAAGACTGATTTGAATTAGTCTAGGCCTCCTTGCTCCCAAAGCAGCTTTGCTTCTGGAGGTGATTCTACTTTTCCAAGCCAAACAATTTCAACAGGCTTTCCCTCATGTGGTTAGTTGTGATATATTCTTGTAAAGACATGGGACGTGTCTGTGGGTGGTGCTTCAGTGGGCAACTGGGGTGTGATGTTGAGGTCTTGCCGGGAGAGAAAATGTAAAACCAAAGCACTATGATTTTAATGTGGAGGATCAGGTGGTAGTCTTCCAACCTGTCAGATCATGTGGGAAGGTCCTTTTGTTTTGAAGCAAAATCTTCATGATATTAATTACTTAATTGACAGGTCTTAAAGTGCCATTAAATCACGTTCCCCTTCCCATCCATTACTCCTTTACTTTACTTTCAAATAACACATGTAAGAATTTCCTCATCTCTGTTCACATATGATTTTGACCTATTGGTGTGATAAACTCTGGTCAGAGATGAGGCCAATTTCTGCATGTGCTACTTGAAAGTAAGGGGAAAGAGTAACGGATGGGAAGGGAAAGTTGGTCATTCCAACATGTGAAGTATGATGCATTTTGCAAAATTACTGCTCAAACATGTTGTTCTGTACTCTTGGATTGTTAAGGACCTTTCCATGTTATTTTTCTATAGAAACCTTTTTGGAAAATGTAGTAGTCTGAAGCTTTAAATGAGAAAGCAGATTCACAATGAATCATAAAAGATCAGCAGAGGCCGGATCAGAGGAAAGAAGGATCAGCAGAGGTGGGAACAGATGAAGAGAGGAAAGAAGCAGGGGCTGTGAGCTGGACTGCAACTCACATCGCAACCTGTATGAAGGCTGAACTCCCAAATCAACCCACTGCCTCTGGGTGAGCACTTATTGCAATTTCAAATGTAATACAGGCTGTGAATCAAAAGGAAGCAAAACCAAATCATTTCACAACCTATTTTTCTGAAATATACTCCAGGCCAGTTGCATTTTTTGGGGGGGGAAATCCTTTCTTGGGATCCTTCCTTTCTATGAGCAAATGCAAGAAAACTGCAGCTAATGTTCAGATAATACAAGGTGAGGCAAAGATGTTGCACCTTCAGATATTGTTGGACTGCAGCTTTCAGCATGGATTGTCATTAATTAGTCTGGTAAGAACTGATAGGAGTTATGGTCCAACGACACTTGGAATCCTTATACAGTACCTAGATTCTCCTTTTTGGCTTATTAGTGGTACTGTCCCAGTTTGTGCCTGCTTTTCCTGAAATTTATAGCATGATCTTTACTCAAACACAATCCTCCACATGTTCCATTCAGCCTTACTCTTTAATACGTGTGCTTTGGACTGCACTCTTATTACTTTACCTAGCTCCATTTTCTGGCTTATCCTTCATATTACCGTAGTGCTCAACATCACCAAATCTCCTTTGAAGGAAATGGGCATCATAACCATTAGGTACATCAAAATAATAGAGGGGGAAGAGCCGGGAATGTATATCTTCCCAGTTCAATTTCACTAGGAATTTTGTCTTTGCAGTAGATAATTTAAAGGAACTACAGCAGCTCTGTTGTCATTCTTGTTGTTCTGTGTTGTCAAGTCAGAACTGACTTATATCGAACCTAACAGGACTTTCAAAGTAAGTGAGGTATTTAAACAGTTGTTTGACCAGTTCCACTTCCCATTTATATCGAACCTAACAGGACTTTCAAAGTTGTTTGACCAGTTCCACTCCCCACTGAGTTTCCATGGCAGAGCCAGGTAATCAACATAGGTCTCCTGAGTCCTTGTCCATTACTCTGTCCACTACAACATACTAGATACCCTCTGTTATAATTAGAGGGATTCAAATCAGCTCACACTGGATCAAATTAAGACCCAAGTTTACTCAAACTCAATTGCTGTTGTTGTTGTTTAGTCGTTAAGTCATGTCCGACTCTTCGTGACCCCATGGACCAGAACACGCCAGGCCCTCCTGTCTTCCACTGCCTCCCGGAGTTGGGTCAAAGTCATGTTGGTCGCTTCGATGACACTGTCCACCCATCTCATCCTCTGTCATCCCCTTCTCCTCTTTCTTGCCTTCACTGGAGATGCCAAGGTTGAGTTTGGCATCTTCACTGACTGTCATCCCCTTCTCCTCTTGCCTTCACTGGAGATGCCAAGGTTGTTTGGCATCTTCACTGGAGATGCTAATCTCAACTGTACTGAAACTGAAAGGACGTGTAATTTCTCTTTGCTACCCAGAAAGCTTCAGCTTCCAAGGGCAATGCCTCTTATGAAGAACATGCACACAGGTTGGAGAACTTATTTTTTGGAGCACAGCTCCCCAAATCCCAAGTAAGCATAGCTCTTACAAACTGTCCCTTCCAGAGTCAGCCCCCCTGTTCTTTTCACTGTACAATGGGACTTTATGACATTTGGGAACATGGTTTTCTGGTTCCAGCATGCATGATCCTTATGCTCACCACTGGCATTCTCTTCTGTCTTTACAGGCATGAGGGGGCTCTGCGGAGCTGAGTCTCCACTCAGGGAGTAGCTGTGCTCAGCCTGGATGCCAGGAGTAGGAGGGTCCAGATCCATGTCCAGCAAAGGGTTTCTTTCAACCAGCATGGGATCATCAAAGAAGCTGTTGAATAGTTCATTGGAAAAGTCCTCCATATTCTCTGAGAAATGGTCGAAGCTCTCGGAGAAATGCTGAGAAAGGAACAAGTGAAAGGAAAGTGTTAGCATCACCTCCATGGGAGACTAGAGGGCCTTGCACTGAAATGTATCCTAGCCCAGACACACTGGGTGCCAATTCATTTGGATGAGAAACAACTCAATATATCCATCTTTTATTCTTACTGTTTTCATAGCTACAGCACACCGTTGGGTTATTTAAAATGAGCAGGCCAAAATCCACAATGATATATCTGCCTCTCTGTCTTTCACACCTTAATTTAATTATCCTAAATTTGATGGACCCTTATTCACTTTACAGTCCTAACTGTCCCATCTGTGCAACTTCTACAACAATATTACATCTTAGGGGTATTGTCTACAGTGAACATCAGTATGTGCCATCTTCAAGCACGAGTGACTCATAATCTGAGCAGTAAAAAAAAGGGGGACTTCAACCCAAAAGTTGGAAGTAAGGCATGCATGAATTCTGCTCAGACCACAGATCTTTTATATCTTTGGTGAAAGTATTTCAAGCTGTCACAGTCTCTGTCATGTGGTCTCTCAGGTAGTTACAAGCAGCAATGGTGTACATGCCTGCCTTTTCCCCACCACCACCTTATTACTGCCCCTCTGAATTAGTAGGTGGCAGACTTCAAGCTTATGGGATCAATTCTATTTTGTTGCTGCTGTTTTTAAATAGAAGTCCAAGATCCGCAAACTAGAGCCAAAAGCAATATGGCGGTTCAAGAGACGGAGCCAGCTACAGTATTTATGAATCTCATGAGCCATGCATTTGGATGCCCTCCATTAAAAAAAGTATAAACCTACATTTGGGTTACACCTGATCAAGGGTTCCATTCAGGTGTGGGGGGGAAGGCTATTATTAAATAACCAGGAGTTGGAGTTTTTGTTTGTTTTGTTTTGTTTTGCTGATCTACTGTAAATCACACAGAGGTTCACCACTAGATCCTGACCCACTTTCTGCTCACTACTGCTCTAAAAATGTGCTGTAGGAAAATAGGCAATCATTCCCAGTGGGCCTTATGATGAAATGCAGAATGTGCCTCCTGGGGCCTCATTCAATTACTCATACATGGATAGAGTCAAAATCATGTATCATAAGAACGAATAGGTGTATTTGGCGAGGACTGAACAAATACCACCAGTAGTGATTTTACTGGATGAGTATGAAGCATGCACGCTTTTCATATACAATGCATTATAATGTGTGTCCTGTATTATATCTCCATTAAGGATATTTGGACATATTACTATTGCTGTACGAAGCCCTAACTCTTGTTGGAGTTTTCTTTGCAATCTCACAAGCTGTCTGTGATTTGTATGATTGGGAGAGACTATTCTGGGTTGCTGTGATTATTGTATAGCATCTATTTATCCAGCACTAAACAATAGACCCTACCTTGATGTTGGGGCTCTCACCACTTTGGTGCATGCGCTTGTAATCTCAAGATTAGACCACTGTAATGCGCTCTACGTGGGGCTACCTTTGAGGCTGCTGCGGAAACTACAGGTGGTGCAGAATGCTGCGGCCAGATTACTCAGTGGAGTGAGAAGATACCAACATATCTCCCCCACTCTGGCCGCATTGCATTGGCTGCCCATCCGATTCCGCATCGACTTCAAAGTCTTGATGCTTACTTACAAAGCCCTAAACGGTTTAGGACCTCGATACTTGATGGAACGCCTTCTCCCACCAAGATCTACCCGTGTCACTCGTGCAAGCCAGGAGGTGAGGCTGAGGAGCCTAACGCCGAGAGAGGCCCGGAAGGAAAAGACCAGAAATAGGGCCTTCTCGGCGGTGGCTCCTCGCCTCTGGAACAACTTACCTCCTGAGATTCGCGCGGCTCCCTCGCTGGGCATGTTCAAGAAACAACTAAAAACGCTGTTGTATAAGCGGGCCTTTCCAACAGAAAACTCCTGACGATTTTCTCTCTATATCTTTTTAATTTCTATCTTTCTTAAATTGTAATGTTTTAAAATTATGTTGTTGTTGTTTGTTGTAAGCCGCCTAGAGTGGTCTAGTACGACCAGATAGGCGGGATAGAAATAAAAAAAATAAAAAAAAAATAGTTCCTTCCAGCCTTTGAATTAAAAAAGAGTCCTACCTCTCTCTCTTTCCTCTATTAGTGCCAGCTGTTTGTTTGTTAATCTGTTCATTTGGTAGCTAAGTACGTTTGTAGTAAAGAAAGCAGCATACACAAATCTGTAACTTCAAGTAAATGTAAGTAAAGAATTTTTAAAATATTTTTTTCACCTACAAATGCCTCAGATTATTGAGCCTTTAAGTGAGAGTGAATGAGAAAGGGTGGACTCTGGGAACTTGTATCTACAGTGGTGCCTCGCATAGCGAGGTTAATCCGTTCTGGATTAACCTTCGCTATGCTGAAGCATCGTTGAACGGGGCAGGGATTTCCATTGGAACGCATTAAACACCACTGTATTCTGCTTTGTGAGTCACTGTACCTCTACTGTATAGCAAATAGAAATTTACCAGAAATTCAAAACTCTGCAATCACGTTTTACTGTATAAAGAAAATCATTATCTGCAAAACTGTATACTTTTTTCTGTACCCACGGGCTGGTTTGCAGTTGTGAAATTTTGCCACAGACATATAAGATTCACCCATCTGTCTAACTAAACATGAAAAGTTAAATAGACAAGCCTCCAGGCAAAATTAAAGGGAGAAACAACAAAAAATTCTGTATTGCCTACTCTTACTTTGCAGTGGATTTCCACAATCACCAGCACTTTGTGATTCAGATCACAGGTTGTATCCAGTACTCATAAACAATTATAACCATGTGCTGCATATATTTTACTTTAGTGGTGGTGGTGATGGGGAACTTTCAACTGTAGCAAGCAATATAATGTTTCTTTCTGACAGCTAGAATAACAGGATACCTTTGCAGCCAATATTAACGGGGGAGACTAGATTTGGTGAGACATCTGTTGCATTACTTGTACAAAAGGACACAGAAAACATTACGATAAATAAAAGGAGAGCACTGCCTGATAACAAAAAACAAAAAAAAAAAGATTGCCCTACGAGCACGAGAGGTTGAAAGCAGAATAGTGGAATATGAGAAAGAATGGAGAGATCAGTCTGAAAATATGAACCCAACAAGCAACAGCAAAGAAGTAGCCTTCATGTTCTAGCTGGAGGAAGAGATCAGCTGTAAGAATCTCCTAGGGCTGCAATCACACCCTATGCAAGCAAATGGACATAAGCCCAAAGGAACATACCTATAAACAAGCAGACTTCACATTTTCGTGCATCAGACTACTGTATTGACAGAAAAGGAGTAACAATACAAAAGACAGCAGCACACACACACACACACACACACACACGGTCAGTCTGAAAGCTTAAGGGTATTTCTCTAGTTGGATTACAGTTCTTTTGCAGAGCATCAGTGCATGGCTGAAAGGTAGCATTTGTGGGGCGGGGGATGAATATGAGAAAGTACTTAAGACAGCTCAGTGAGCTGCAGCACCTGGGAGTTTGATTCCCCACTGTGCTTTGCAGGAGAAAAACCATCCTGTGTGGCCTTGGGCAAGCTGCACAGTCCTGGGCACCCCCCCTCCCCAGAAGACAGGAGTGTTAAACCCCTTCTGAGTATTTGTACCTAGAAAACCCTGGAAAGGGTCATCACAAGTTCAAAATTGCTAATGGTGTGCCATTAACTAATTACAGTACAATGATTTAGATGGCTATGAACAGGTGTTTGAACACACTGTCTTAAACAAAACATCAGCAGGAGAAGATGCTCCATGCTTTTAAAACTCCATTCCATGGCACAGGGTTTGCTTTTTATTACAGGGATTGGAAAGAAAGGGCAATTGTTCTTGTCCCGCAGGCTGACAAAATCCCTGCCAGCAGAAAGTCTGAGGGAGGAGTTGACCTGTGCACCCCGGATACTACAAAATGCAAGTTCCTATTCCAGTAGAAAGGTGTGTTTGTTTTACTCTACCTGCTAGGGTTTTAGCAATATGGTTGTACAAACAGACACTGTTAAGCAAATGAGACGACTGCAAGGGAGTTGGTTAGTCAGGCCTCACTTAGGAAGTTTCCAGTCTTGTTCATAAAAGAGTGGGGACTCCTGAGTACAGCTGAAAAACGGACTTGTCCATTAAATATCGGAGCTTGGACAAATGATCACTGGCCACTCTGCTTGGGGGAGACATGGAGAGCTAGTGGAAAACAAAGCAAAATTTCCAAGCTCTTTTGAATAAATACTTAACCACAAGATGGGTGGGAATATCATTCTTTTTTATTTTTTAGGAGAAATTTGCGAAATTCACAGATTTCTTCCCAATTTCAGTTCGAATAACCAAACATCTATTTTTCCAAAATGGTGTATAAGAAGCAGCAAAACTAGAAGATTCACTTTTGTGGGTACCATTCTGAGCGACAGTCTCTTAAAAGTCTGGCACCTTTAACACATGCAGTACTATACTTTAACAATTATATGCCTGGAGGAGCCATGGCTGCCCAAGTTGTCTCAGTCTCAGCCCCTCTCACTGGTGTGTTTGTTGGGGACACAGAAGACGGCCTTCTCAGTCTCTGTACACAGACTTTGGAACTCTCTCCCACAGGAGACCAAGCTAACCCTATCTTTGCTGTCCTTCAGCAAGTGGATGGCGACCTTTGTCTTCAGGCAGGCTGTTTCTCAATGACTGACTGTCTAAGAGAGTTTTATTTTTAATGGGATGGTCGTGTTTTTATTCTTGTAATTTCAAATGTATTACTGATTCTATCT